ATCTAGTTTGAGATTATTGAAAATGTCTTCACAATGAAGGGAATGGAGAAGAAATAAAGAATAAAACAAGGAATAAAATATGAAGAACAAGGCACGAACACTTAATCGTTCTCCTCAAATGATATTTGTTCCCCCTCAGATTAAATTTGGTGCTTAAATGGATTATCGGCAAATGGTTTGTGAATTAGTCAAGCCTTGTAAATGATTTAACACTTAAACACTTAATGTAATAATTCAAAACTTGAGAATGCAAAATAAGTTTTGAATATGAAGAAAACATTGATTTTTAATACTTTTTTGAATGAAGAAAATGATCTAAAATGTGACTATATGTTTTTCAATATTTTTCCTTGATAATCAACCACATTTATATAGCCATCATACAATATCATACGAAGTGGTGCCAAAAAACATTTGGAAAGCCACCAAAATTTAAATAAAAATGGTTATAAATGGCTAGAATAGTGTTTTGTGCATCGCACAGAACAAATTTATGTGACCGGATAGATTATTATACGGCAAGGTTTTTAGGCCTTGTAAATGCCTATGTGATCATAGCCTCTTTTGGTCTATGCTGTCACATCGACCAAATATTGGTCTCCAAATACGATTTTTCATTCCACATACGTCTTATTGATTTTTGAACAATATACAACACTTTGATGAACTACATGTAAAGCTTCTAAAATTTGAAGCTTCACAAGTAACAAAATTGAAACTTCATATTTTCCCCACTTCTACTACACCGACAAGTCACATTAACAATGGGTGGTGCAACTCATCCAACTTTGGTGGCAACACATGAAACATAAACAATTATTGGTGCCCATCTTCAAACTCAGGCAACAACAGTAAGGGTTGGTGCCTTTAGCCCAACAATTGCACCTCCCTACGACTTTATCTTGGATATTCCAAATATGTAGAATCTAAGGATATAATACTAAATACTGCCCTACATTCCGTTTGGTACCAATTACTTCATCCAACAATTCTTGTTGGATTTTATGCTCAATAATAAAAAGATGAAAGAGAGACATCAAGACAAGTATTTATGTAATTCAACAATGTGCCTACATCCACGAGGAGTGAAGTGGAGTTAATTTTATTTAGTATGAATAATAGGGTTACGTTATTAGTATTTATAGTAAACCTAGTCTAAGCACATACAAAACTTTAAGGTCAATACAAGAAAATACCCCTGTGCATTTCCGCAGGCCCCCAACCCATTAAGCATCCCTAACAAACCAACAGTGAATTAAAACCTGCAAGGTCGATGCCGTTGCTCTGCTTCATTCCGTTCGATATTCTACACTTCCCTTACTCCGCTTAGACATCGCCCTACTTAATCCAATAAATCTGTGTTATACTCTATATAAGCCATATACACAAATAATTCTGCTTCACCATTGTCAACTACTCTTTCTTCATGGTAACCAAGAACTTATTTTGCTGCCAACACCTCCAGCTACCTAACATAACTTTTAGACAGTGGTACTACTTATCACATCACCTCGAACTTGAGAAATCTATCACTTCATGTACCATACACCAACTCTGATGTAATTAAGATTGGAGATGGTACGTATCTCATATAACACACATTGGTTCTACATCTCTCAAAATTTCTAGTTCTCAATTTACCTTAGATAATGTTCTCTGTGTCCCAAACATGAAAAGGAACATGATTTCCATTTCCAAATTTTATATTTCCATAAATGCTTCCATTGAAATTTTACCATATTCTTTTTCATATAAGAACTACACACTAGTGCATTGCTTTTGAAGGGTCAAACTAAGGATGTCATATTTGAATTGTTGATATTCTCACCATTATTTGCTTTTTCTAGTGTCAAGATTAATTCGTCTGAGTGACATCTCATATTAGGACATCCCATCTTTTCTATTTTAACGCCTATTATTTCTAATTATCAGATTTATTTTCTTCTACGACTTCAAATATTTCGTGTAATGCATGTCATTGTAATAAGAGTCACAAACATTCTTTTTTCCATTTCCACTTTAATTTATCATCTACCTTTTCAAATAATTTTCATTGATGTATGAAATTCATCGATTATTTCTTATGATGGCTTTAAATAATATGTTATTTTTGTTGATCCATTTTATCATGTCAAATAAAAAATAGAAGGAAAAGATTTATTAATAAGATTTAAAACCTTTTTTTGATCATAGACATCCACATTTCCGTCATGAGTTTTTAGCTCCACCATAGAAGGAGGATAAGGGTTAGGATCCTCAAACTATCTATATATAATAAAAATGGCTAGTATACGTAAAAGGAGGGCATAAACCTAACATTCTAAAAGTAACATAGCAATAAATGTCTAAAAGTAAAATGAAAGCAATAAATGAGAAAGTACTAGTTTCCATATAATGAAAGAATAAATAAATGAAAACTAATCTGTGAATCTCTAAAGATGGAAAATCCATATGTGAGAGAATAAGATTTAAAACCATCGTGGAAAAACACTTCCATCAAACCAAAAACACTTTCTATTCTGATAATGGTGGTGAATATATTGTTCTTGCTTTTCAAGGCATATCGCATCCTACTTCTCTACCCCACACACCCAAACACAATGGTNTTTTTTACATGTACATAGGATCCTATATTTGAAATTAGTATAAGGCCCCCAAAATCTTAAAGTCGGCCTTGTATCCCAATGTTGCCTATCACGAAACTTTTAGCCCTTGACACACCAGCTTCGTGTAACACCACTAATCCAGAACATAAAATGCGTCAATGATAGATACCAACTGAAAGTCGGACCCATCATCACGGCTACTACAATATGCAACATTTTACAATTTTTTTTTAACAGAATTTTAGTATTATCTTCCCTGTGATTAGGACTAACCCGCCTATAATTCATGATGTACAAATCCTAAAATATAACACAACACAATAGAGATAAGTCGAAACCTCACTTTTACTATGCAAATAACAAGAAATGCACATATGGATGTAAAATAGACGGTGAGCCACATAACTATCTACAAGTGATGCAAAATCATATATGAAAATGGATGTATCCTAAAACACCGACTACATGCTCTATGAAATGAGTCATACTAGCAAACTCTATCATGTGGCTCTGATTTCGAAAGCAAAAGCTCAACTCCAAAAGATACCCTGAAACTCAACTACTACCTGATAAAAAAAAAATGTAGAAAAATATATGAGTTGATAGCTCAATGAGTAGACAAGCTCAAAATAATTATATTTTCCCATTTTCACCTTTTTTTAATCAAAAATTGAGTTTACATCATTTTGCGGTTCACAATATAGCAGCATCTAATAATAATAGTCAAGAAGCAAGACACCTCATAGTACTGAAAAATATCATCCCATCATCATGATATAATCATCAACTGAAATCTATAAACCATTTTATCACATCAGATGTACTTAAAAATCAACAAAAAACGTGCCATTTGACTGAAATTTGTAATCTAGTCACACACGCATCGACTGCTCTTCAAGCTAATCACTCTCAACACAGGCCTCAGGCCCTCGAGTCTCAAAGACATCTCATTATCAATTCTAAAATACGACCAAGACCTCTCAGTGAACTATATGTATACGTCAAGACCCCTTCATCCTCAGTCAAGACCCCTCGTGTAGTATGAAACACGATTAATGTCCCTTAGTGCACTAGAAGAAGTATATAATCATGGGTACTTTTCTAGTTGATCTCAATATCACAGATGTCTCACATACCGATTCACAAATACTCCATATACAATCTTTGATGCTGCACATGTATCATAGTGAAAGATTTTTCCATAATTATCACATCACCTAACACATAATTGCAGATAATATAATAATATAATTAATTTATAACTATGTATGCAAAATCAACTCGATTGGTAGGCTGTCTCGATATCTGTATCGCCACCTAAATTGTAATGTAATTTTTAGATTAACAATTAACTATTTTAAGAAATTCTGATAATTACGTAGACGATACTAAAACTTAATCTTTTCATGTTTAGGTGATTTCTAAATTTTCTCTAATCACTTAAGCTAATTTTTCTTTCATTTAACATAATTACATAGCTTATTATACTTAATTCAATAATTTTCCTTCGATAAAATTGAATTTAAACTAACAATTTGACGACCCTAAAATTTAACATAACTTTCCAATAAGTAACTTTTTACTCACCTTTGATTTAAAGAATTCAAGCTTAATAGTAGAAAGTGCTTATTTTCTAACAATATTGACGAANTTTAATCACTTCGTTAGTTGTGGATGGTCAATTCATCAACTTGATGTTAACAAAGATGTTTATTTTTATTTTTTTTGCAATGTCATCTAAGTGAGAATCTATTTTTGCACAACCACTGGGTTTCATTGATCAAGACTTTTTTTTTCATGTGTGCAAACTTAGAAAAGCTATTTGTAGGCTAAAATAAGTTCCACGAGCTTGGTATCAAGAATTACAAAATTTCTTTCTTAGCTATAATTTTAAAAATTCACACGCGGATACATCAGTATTCTTTGTGCTTCATCTGGCAGGCATTTTGATGTATGATGAATAAGAAAGAAAGAAAAAGGAGAAGGGAGGAGAAGAGAAAAAGGGAACCGGGGGGGGGGGGGGGGGGGA